TTACGACCAAGAATACAATGACGTGTTGTTATCTTTCTTACTCAAAAAGTCCAATTGATGAGGTGTATAATTATTTACAAAGCGTGTACAATGAATATTTTTTTTATAAATTATCCTAACTAATTATATTTTGTAAATTTAAATTTAACAAATAAAATTTTATATAGCAGGTCTCGCAGCTATTAAATTTTCAAAAGGGCGGTGTCCATTTCTTGTGCAGACTGAAAAGCTTAACGCAATTGATAGAGGTAATCAAGCAATAATCGAGAATCGACGGTCTGATTTCACTTAATAGCAAATTAAACCAACAGAGAAGTCAACAAAAATAATATAGGAAGAACATAATAAATATTTCTTAATTTACTAAAATAAACGAGCAAATGGGAAAATTTTATTTTTTAATTAAAGACCGAGAAAAAAGAACTAAAAAAGAGTTATACGATAGATAGAAAAAGTAGAGTAATATATTAACAATTCCTAATTTTGAAAAGGACACAAAGAAAATATTATTTTCTTCCGAAGTTACTATGCTAGATATATTATTATTGTTAACATTCTTTTCAAATTTTATATATATAAACTATATATATGTGCTCATTATTTATTATTTGTTTTCCTTTTTTCTATTTGTGGAGTGGGTTGGCTAGAAGGTCTGAAAATTCTAAACTTCCTTGAAAGTTAAGATTGCTAATTTGCTATTATTTGCCTAGTTTTGCTTTTTTTCTTTTTTCTTTTTTTTGATGGTTGAAAAGTTTTGAAAAGTTAAAGTAAGCTTTGAAATTAAACTTAATATCTTTCTAGAATTTATTTTTTTATATATATTATCCAATATCTCTTTTTTTAACGCGATTAATTTATTGACTTTCTTGAGTTAATAACACATTTTGCATGTTTAGTTAGATCTTCTAATCTAGTGTAATGAATGATAACGTGAAAAATTCAGACAGAAGATCTAATTTAAATGTTTTAGGAAACAAATTAATTAGATTGGTATAAAAGAAAAAAATTAAGAATGAAATGTTCTTTTTAACTAAAAAGATAATTTTATTTTTAAAATTCAATTTCGAAATTTTTGATTAAAAATGAAGTAATGTTTATCTTATTAATAGTAGCTTTTGGCGATCCTTTAAGGTTGAGTTAATGTCTTATTAATCGACTTATTAACTTTATGAAAATAGTGATGTTAGGAGAAAAAAACAGAAAAATAATAATAAAAAGAATCAAATCACATGTTTTCATTGGCCTAAAAGTATATTATTATGCACAATCAACATGTAATATAATATATTGTAATATTGTCCACCACATTTCATGTGCACAAAGCTCAAGAATAATAATTCAACCAAAACAAATAAACAAAAAAACTCAAGAATAATGAAAACATATTGCACTGGAACGTGGCTAAATAATGGAGTATTCTGACCACATTTTTATTTTTAATAAATTACTAGTAAACACCTCTATTAAGAGGATTTTCGGAAATTCAGTAACTTTTATTCCAAATTTTGTATTTATAGTGAAAGTTGGAAACCAAAAATGACAAAAAAGAACATAATTTCCATATTTTCGTGCTTTACTTGAGATTGATTTTTTAATTTTTTTTTAGATATAATAGTAAATATACTCTTTGTATTTCTAATTTTAATATTTATACATTCTAATTTTAATAACATGTATAACGATGTTATTCCTTACTTTTTGAAATTAATAACTAAACCCCTTATATAATGTAAATTTTACGCAAAGGAATATTCATCCAATTAAGTAAATTTAAATATTTGAAGGGGGGAAGTAAAAAAAAATCAAAAAAAATTAAATTTGAGAATTTTCTGTATAACTCTTTTTTAGAAAAATACATATAGAATGTTCAAAATGTACAAAAGTTATTACTAGTAATTAATAGTATATATTATGAAATAATTTGTGATTATTTTCTATTTGATTTGTTTGAAATATACATGTTTCAACAGAAAATTAAAATCAAAGGCATGAATTAAAATTTTCAATAGAAATGATTATGCTCTTTCTTTAATTTTCATAAAATTAAATTTTACAAATTTCTATTATTAGTTTTAATTTGTCTTTTAGTTATTCTATTTTAATGTATTAATTATAGCTATATATATGCCCCGTACTTTTCAAATCTAACCACTTTAATAACCTTGTAAAATAATAATATTATTAAACCTAATCTTTTGTAGAATTTTTATAAATGATATGTAATTATTTTATTTTAAAATATAGGGTATATTACTATATTTGAAGTTGAGTCATATTACAAGGATATTTAGTATAATTTATCATTATATTTTATATAATGAATTATTAATAAATGCATATTAAAGCATATAACAGTTTTCTTTCTACATTTGGTTCACTACTAGATACAGAGGTTTTTTCGGTCATGAAGCAATGAGAAATTCGTATTTGAAATATGATTTTTCCACCTTATTTCTATATCGAATCAGTTCATTGGAAAAATACACGGTGAAAGATAAATTCCCAATTAAATTCAAAAAATAATCATTGAACAATTTTCTTTTCTCACCAATGCAATTTAAATTAAATCTCTGAAAATAATAACGTTTTTCTTTTTAAAAATGAAATATCAATGAAAAATATATATTATTTTATAGTACTGGTTATTATCCTGTTTAGTTCCCTAGAATTTTAAAATTCTTTTACTATCATATTATAACCAAAGGGGATTGACTCAAGTCTTCAAGTTTTTCATGTACTTTCATAAAATATTGGAAACATTAAAAAAATAAGTTAGGGTATACAGAAGAAATGATGTTTATGTTTTCTTTAAATAAATAATTGCTTCATTGTCTTAGAAAAGAACAAAATAATCAACATAGATAGTAGTAGGATGAATGAGATTCCTCTATTCTTATTTAAAAGATCTCAAATTCGAGCTTTGAATAAAAAAATAAAATTATCTTTAAAGCGTCGTCTCAAAAAATAAGTCTTACAATACACAAATTTAAATTAATCAAGGCTCTAATATCAATATTGAATGGAAAAAACCCTATATAAATTAGGGAAAAATTGTATATAATAGCAAACTATTAATTCAAATTAAATATTATAAATATACTTTGATTTAATTGTACCCTATAGCAAACTATTGTTATTTTCGCCACTCTCCCTGGTGGAATCTCGCTGTCACCCTTGCCTCTCTCGCTTATACAAACAGAAACGAAATGTATAAATTGCACTTCTGTTTGTATAAAGCGAGAGAAAATTGCATATATATACATATATTTTCGTTCCCCTCTCCCAAATCTTGCTCGCCACCCTCGCCTCTCTCGCTTATACAAACAGAAACGAAATGTATAAATTGCACTTCTGTTTGTATAAAGCGAGAGAAAATTGCATATATATACATATATTTTCGTTCCCCTCTCCCAAATCTTGCTCGCCACCCTCGCCTCTCTCGCTTATACAAACAGAAACGAAATGTATAAATTGCACTTCTGTTTGTATAAAGCGAGAGAAAATTGTATATACACATGCAAATACATATATCTTCGTCCTATACACTTATAATTATACAATACAAATATTTCCCTGCCCAGTTTTCTTTTATTTTGTACAACTGCTTTTTTTTTTGTATATGTATAGCGAATTATACATATGCTTTCTTTTGTCTATGTATAGCGAAATATACATATTTATGTTTGCTATGGAGCGCAATTATGCAAACTTTGCTATAGCATACAAATATGAATTTTGTGTTTGCTATATGTGAAAGTTGCTCTTAAAAATAAAAATAAAAAAATAAAAAAAAAAAATATATATATATATGTAATTGTTATTTTTTTTTTTTTGTTAATGATGATAGTTTATTCATACACAGATTATACAATTGATCTTTTGTGTACAACTGCTTTTTTTTTTGTATATGTATAGCGAATTATACATATATATGTTTGCTATGGAGCGCAATTATGCAAACTTTGCTATAGCATATAAATATTAATTTTGTGTTTGCTATATGTGAAAGTTGCTCTACAAATTACTAGTGATCAAATTTAGATTTCCAGAGTACAATTAATAAAATTAATTTAATACAATAAATTCTCCCTTAAACGAACTGCCAAGTCAACACTAATCTATTAAAAAAAAATATTTAAAAAAAAAAAGATTCTTACGTAAATATACAGGTCAAACAACCGTAAATATAGCACAATAAAATTTCCACAACTAGAATAGCTAAATTATTGGGAAAAACGAAATGGTCTCTTTTCATTTATTTTTTTTAACTTAATTTCAGTTTTAATTTTGTATATTTCAAGATTATGCACATATTTTCCTCATGTAGTAAATAGCAATATTCTGCGCCGTAATTTTCTCCAAACATTTTAAAGCAAAATTTATTGAATTAGTTGGTGGCCCAAAAAATCTCCTTACCAACCCTACCTTAAAAAAATAAAAAGGAAAAACAATATGAAGTTTCCTTTTCAAGGAATCCATACCCACCCCCTTCAACCATAAAAAAATAAAAAATAATTATTATAATTTATAGTATTATTTTTTCATTTTAATATAGCACAATTTTATCAACCACAAAATTTTAGAAAAAAGGAAGACTTTTGAAATATTTTAAATTAAATTATTTCCACAATTTTTTTCGGGATAGACTAAAAAAAAATTATCATAGATTTTCATTTTTAAAAAGCTTAAAAAATTATATACAAATTCACGATCAAAATTAAAAAGTTTTAACCTTTGAAATTCAAAAACAACAATAATATTCTCTCTTTCTCAGCATACAAATTACACTACGTGATTCTTACTATTTGTCATATTTTTTAATTTTGATGGACAAATTAATTAAAATACGGAAAAACTGATTTGAACACCACAATTATTAATAAAATGAGATATAAATTTAAAAATAAATTAAATCTCGAAATTCGAACAGTACCATACCTAATACCACATATATAGGGACAAAAAAGGAGGAGTATTTGAGAGTTTTACAAAAGGAATTTTCTTTGTTAAAAAAGGGCCAAATGGTTGACCAAAAAAGAGTTGTTTTTTCTCGTATAAAATTATGAACAGATCTCTAAGGAAAAAAAAAAACAACTCTCATTTATATATTTTTTTCTTTCATTTTTTTTTATAATGGTTTCTGCAGAAACTAAACCTAATAGTTCATCAAATTTCAAATTAATTGATGGAAGAAAATTGTCTTACAAAGAAAGAGGTGTTCCAAAGGAAAAATCAAATTACAGAATTATATTTATTCATGGATTTGACAGCTCCAAAGAAAGGGATTTTCTTGCACCCCAGGTAAATTATCATCTAACATAGCTTCTTCATATGTTGTTGAACAGAATTGTTAAATAGACGGGTTGAATTAAATTTATGTGGGTCATGACTCAATTAGCTCGAAATTTATTATTTGGGTGAATGATCATAAAGTCATAATTCAACATAACTTCTTGATATGTTGTGGAGCATAATTGTTAGATGGCATGTTGAATTAAATTTGAATGGGTCATAACTCAATTCGCTCGAAATTTATTATTTGGGTGAAAGATCATAAACAAGTCATAATTCAACATAACTTCTTGATATGTTGTGAAACAGAATTGTCAAATGGACGGATTGAATTGAATTTGAATAGAAAACAAGTGAAATTAAACAATGGGTCATGAATCAATTCGTTAGAAATTTATTATTTGGGTGAAGATTATGTGTATTGAATAAATGAATTATAATTCAATAGGACCACTATAACCCAAATTTTCTTTTTTAAAAGATAAAAGAAGAAGTGGAAAGTGTATGTTTTTTTCTCTTAAATTATTCCAAATTTATGCAATTGTGTTTTCCATGTGTGGGTTCAATTAAATTTGAACGAAAAACAAGTCAAATCAACAATGGAGTCATGACTCAACTCACTCAAAATTTGCCTGGATGAATGAGTTATAGTTCAACCCACCCAATATAACCCAATTTTTCCTTCTTTTTGATTTTTCTTAAAGGAAATTGAAAGGAAAGTGTATAGTATATGTTTTTTGTCTCTTAAATTTTCGATTCTAGTATATTTGAGTTTGAGTTGAAACTATTTTGATCCAATAGTTTGATGGATCATTTCTTGTTCAACTTATTTGGTCAAGTCAACAAACGAGTCATAATCCAACGTGTTCGATATATCTAGTTAATTTTTTGAGAATTTTCTACAGGAACTTATGAACACGATGGGAGTGTATATCGTTCAATTCGATCGAGCTGGATATGGAGGAAGTGATCCTAATCTGAAACGATCGTTAAGGAGTGAAGCATCAGATATTGAAGAACTAGCAAATCACTTGGAATTGGGATCCAAATTTCACATAATTGGTTTCTCCATGGGATCTTACCCAACCTGGAGTTGCATTAAACACCTATCACATAGGTAACATTCATCGAATCGTGCTTTTATTGTGATCGATATCAGCAATGCAGTTCATACAACGATAAACTTAAGTCAAAATTGTATAGATAAAGAGATAACATGAAACATGAATGAACAAAATGTCAAATTGAATCATATGTTTATATCCACATTGTAAAGTCATGTCTTTTCTTGAGCTGAGGGTCTGTCAGAAACAGTCTCTCTACCTTCACAAAGTAAGGGTAAGGCTATGTACACACCACCCTCTCCAAATCCCCACTTGTGAGATTACACTGAGTTTGTTGTTATTGATGTTGTAAATTCATGTTTTTGCTTGAGCCGAGAGTCTATCAGAAACAGTCTCTCTACTTTTCACAAGGTAAGGGTAAGGCTACGCACACACTACCCTCTCCAGACCCCACTTGTGAGATTCTAGGCTTGATGTAAATTCATGCCTTCTGTTTTTCGAACTTGGTAGGTTAGCAGGGGTGGCATTTGTGGTTCCCATTGTCAATTACCAATGGCCTTCTCTACCGGAATCTGTATTAAAGGACGATGAACGGAAGAAGTGGTACAAAAGGATGACTTTGGTTGCAAGATATGCTCCTAAGTTATTGCATTGGTGGATGATCCGAAAAACGTCTCAATCCTCCTCTACCGATAGTACAAAACCTACATACTTTACGGACAAGGACTTGGAGCTTTTGAAGAATGCACCTGGATTTCAATTTCTTACCGCGGTAAGGCCAATAACAGTAACTACGTCTTAATCCCAAGCAAGTAGAGTCCGGCTCACCATTTGTAGTGTTATTTTAACTTCTATGTTTTCCATCTGCAGGACAAGCTAAAGAGCAGAAGTGTTTTCAACAACCTCCGTAGTGACTTCCTTGTGGCGTTTAGTAAATGGGATTTTGATCCTTTGGAGCTTAGCAATCCTTTCCCTGAAAACGATAAACGTCCTGTTCACATCTGGCACGGGTGTGAAGACAGATTTATCAATTTGAAACTACAAAGACATGTCTCAGAAAGGTTACCTTGGATTCAATATCACGAAGTTCACGATGGTGGACATTTATTGATCTATGATACCGCGGTCTGTGAAGCCATCTTAAAGTCTCTTTTGCTTGGAGTGGACACACCACTCTATACACCTAAATTTACCTCCTGACTGTCACACCCCTTTTTCGTAGACTTTATAATCATTTCTGTTATAAGTTCTCCATCTCATTTTATGTCACGGTTACCTCAACCGAAAACATCTTTTACATCACCAGCATTAGGACTCAACCAATTTGTTGTGTGTTCTGTAGAAGATGCAGACGTGATCAATGTCAAAGTATCGGGACAACTAAAAAAGAAAACGAAGGTTTACAAGATATGGTGAAAGAGAAGTATGAATTGAGAGATTTATATATAGTGCTTTCTGAGCATGATATTTTTGATGTAGTGAAGGAGGAAGAAGTATATAAAGGCCACCAAATGTTTATTGATTATATTGCATACTTATAAATCTCTTATTATCTTGATCTATAACTATAAGTTGTATAAAAACTAACCATGTTCTAACTTATTCATTCCACATTACTTGTGAAGCCAAATTTCATCAAAAGTCAAGAATTAATCACTTAATTGTAAGTCTACAACGGCTGGTAAACGTAGACCACCTATCGCAGATTATCTTTCCAAAATATGGAGGACGAAGGGGGTAATGCATGGTCAGAAAATGTCACATTCATATAAGCACAAGTTTCGAATCAGGTTCTAGGTTATAGAATCAGACTCCCAATTTTCTCGGATAATGGTGATGTTCAACACTTAGACTATCTCATCAAGTACCTGCTATCTCTCACCAATACAGGTTTGGTAACTCTGTGGACCAAGGATCCAAAATTGACCAATTCCTAAATTTCTATCAACTAGAAACTAACCAAACTGCGAGGTTTTGGTAGGACTACTTGTGTCAATGGAAGAGAGCACTTTACATTTTTGAATGAATTAATCAAGAAAATGAGAAGATCATTAACCTGAATCCACCCAGGGCTCTGATAATGGTTTGGCAACTTGCAAATCTGGGCTAGTGAAAGGTTCGTGTCACGTCCTCCTTTTGACAGTTTAGCAGGATAACGAGGCCATCAATATTGAAGAAAAGGAACAACAGGATCAACTCCAGCTGACGACCTGTATAAATACTCTGTGCATCAGTCACAAATATATTGTATTGCATCAAATTTTCACACTGTAATATTCAATTTCAGTGACTAACATCAAATTTTCACACAGTAATATCTTTCTAGTGTTATACTGTCGTTGAGTAGCTCATAGCTGATGCTACACTAGTGCATTGTGTACTGCTAGAAGCTGAACACTATTGAATGGAATGTTGAAACTAAATTTATTACAGATATGTCAAGAAAGAAAAAAACCTCAATGATAACCGTGGTGTCCGGATAAGCTTGCTGCTTGCACATACCTCAATTAATTTCATGAGATACTTGTCACCTCCTACCAACAATAGGTATCGACTGGGTAACTCTGTCCACCAAAACTTGGACAGATGAAAAGAATCACTAAACTTAGTGTATGAGTCATGTATCCTTTTTCTTTGTTTTCTTCTTCTTTCTCTTTTTATGGGTTCAACTGAACTCAATATTTTCGACACAAACCACACAATATAACAATTACAAATACAATGTGTTAAGGTAAGAACCTCAAAAGTTAGAAAGCATCAATTTTAAATGAAAAGAATCACTAAACTTAGTGTATGAGTGTATCCTTTTACTTTTTCTTCTTCTTCTCTTTTTATGGGTTCAACTGAACTCAGTATTTTCGATACAAAACACCAATACTAACAATTACAAATACAATGTTTTAAGGTAAGAACATCAAAAGTAAGAAAGCATCAAATTTAAATTCTGGATCTGCTTCTAACCCGAGATACAAACTCGAAAACCTCCATCCAATCAGTTGGTCTTACTAGTCCAATTTAACCTTCAACAAAGCAAATTCACCATTATTCTATACTAAATAAAACTTAAAAAATCAAATTAGCATTTTAAACATGCAAAAGCCCCAAATATGTTTAGAAAATTTTGAAGCTCAAGAATAACTACAAAATATTGAACATCATCTTTTTATTTTTGTTTCCCACCAGGTGTCAAATCCTTACTCACGCATTGCATGGTCTATTTCTGGAGGCGGCACTCCCAAAGGTATTTTTTCCATACACAATATTAATTTGAATTAAGACCTCTAATTAAGAATAGAAGAATCTCAATCATACCACCACATAGATAATGATGTGAACATTATTTTATCACAATACTAAAAATTACAATTCATCAAATACTATATAGAGCAATTGTTTTATGTCAAATAAGACACAGAAAACCAGTAGAAGAAATCCAATATGATACAAATAAAGAAAAGTGATAAAGCAACAAGCAATCCCAATTTCTGTTAGTGAAAAATAAGAAAGAATAATTGCAAATTGAACAAAACAACATAAACTTGAAGAGAATTAGAAGGAGAACTTAAAGCCTCCCTAATCTATATCCGGATTTTCAACTACACACTTTAACCTTACGAGAGTCCTATCACCCATGAACTATTTAAAACTGAAATAATTACACCCTTAAAAAGCCACAACCACATCTATATTGATCTGTGAATTTCACGCGCTTGACACGTGGAAATTTGATTAATTTAGTATTTTTTTCAACTTTTTTTATAATTCCTTTCCCCTTTCTCCTATACTCTCCCAATTTCTTCAAATCCTAAAGTAACTTCTTCTTCCATTTCCTTCAAATTCCTAAAGTAATTTTACTAGGGATGTCAAATGGGGGGGTTAAGTTGAAATTGGAGATATTGAAATGGGTTGAAATAGAAATCGGGTTGGATCTTGACCCGCCCAAGTTTACTTTGGGTTCAAATAGGCTAAAAACGGGTTGGGTCTTGACCCGTCCAATTTGACCCGCTTAATCTCAATTATTTTAACATAGTGATATTTAACTTTTATAATCACAATTTGAATTTCAACTCAAGATTATTTTTTTTTAAAAAGTAACAAATGGATAGATAAATCCTAAAAGATATTAAATAGATAACAATTCATACCTTTAATATAGGAGCATATCTTAATAAAAAGTTTTAAAACGGGTTGAAATTGGAGATTGAATTGGGCTCAATTAAGGATTCTCTTAAAATGGGTTAGGCATGAATGGGTTGAGATTGAACCCAATTCAAATTATCTTGAGCCCAACCCTTAAATTTTTGGGCGGATTGGGCGGGTTACCTATGTTTGGGTTCATTTTTGACACCTCTAAACCTTACCATAACTTTAAACACCAAAGTCCACTGAAATTGGATTGTGAAGAACAAAGGTGAACAATGATAGTGGAGCTCGTCAAGTGATATTCGAGCTTTGTTCGTCGAAAAACGTGAAAAACAAACTAACAAGATTTGTGTATATGGTTGCTTTGTCGAGGTTTTTCTTGGATCAACGGAGTTCGCTGGTTTCGGAGCAGTGCAACCACAAGGTTTTGTTGTCGTCGACCTCGCTGTGAGAACAGAGGTAGTTCTTCATGATGAGAGGAAGGGGAGGGGGGAGAGAAAGGGTTTTGCTGGTGGTTTGGGTTTCACCGGAGGCGGGGATAGTGGTGGCTACGATAGCATTTCACCGGTTAGTCAAGCAATGGACAGAGGGTAACCTGAAAAATAAACTAAAGGATCTATAAATAAATTAAAAAACATTCTAATTTGGGAGTTCAATTGGATTTAATGTAAATCCAATTTGATTTTATTTTTCAAATTTGATCCAAATGCCTTTTTTGGGTGATATAAATACATGTCATTTTATCTTTAATTGATTTGATTGGTTTTTAGAAGTTTTTTATATGAGAGTTTAAAAGCTTGTGTGAAATCAACAATAATGAATCCGATGAAGATGGTGGTGGCAATGACGGCTTAGAGATGGTGAATGGTGGAGGGATTTGGTCTTTATTGCTATGGAGAAGAAATATAATAAATAAGAAAAAAAAACATATATTTGTAAAAAGATATATTAAAAATAAAGTTTTAATATTTGTTTTTTGTGCTCACTCTCTCTAAGAGAGTGAAATACACTCACTTTTTCAACTAAGCATTCAAGGAGATAAAAATTTCAATTTTAAACACTACAGGGGGTGATAGGACTCTTAGTGTGTAGTTGAAAATCCAAATATAGATTGGAGGGGCTTTTGACCATTTTCTCTACTAATAAATAAATATAGCTATATGTCTTTTTCTGAAGTTCAGTTTCTGGTGTTTACTGTTAATTATCAGGGGCTTTATAGTCTTTCAATTGTGGAATATTGGGAGGCAAGAAATTGAGTGAAAATATAGAGAAATGTAATCTTAAATAGAAAATTATACATGTAATTTTGATTTTTAATTTGTATTTTGCATTTATAAACATAAAAAGATCTCATAAGTCTTGGAAACTATTAAAATTGTTTTAATTCTTTATATAATCTTATCAAATAAGTAAAAGTTTATAACAAAAGTATATTACATTATCACAAAGTTATATTTAAAAAGTACAATATTTATTAATTAGACTTTAGTTCAAGAAAAAAAGTAAATTTGAACATGAGTAATACTTATCTACCACAGAGAATAACATTTTTTATGAAGAGCTACCACTAAAGAGTCATTTGACGAAGACGGGATAATTTTGTGTAAATAAATAATATTTTATTTAAAAAAAAAACAAATAATACGTATTCACTTTCCTTGATAAGCTGCTTAAGATGCGTCATATCTATTTAGTCATTTTCCCCCAATACTTACTCAGTGTGCATTACCTGATATCTTCAAGCCCAAATTGTCAACCTCTCACATCTATTTGTTGAGGCATTTACACTTTTCCTTTTTACATGTCCAAACCATGTTAGTTTCGCTTCCCTTATTAGTTTCACTCCCACCTTGCTCCAGGTATATTTATTTCTAATCTTATCTCTCCTAATATGTCAGACATCCACTTTAGCATCTTCATTTATGCAACTTTCATCTTTTTGAGAGTTTTTGACTGACTAACCCTCCTTCTCATACAACATAATCGATGCAACCGTCGCTCTATAAAACTTACATTTAAGTTTTGGCGATACCTTCTTATCACACAACACTCCAAAGATGAACCTTCATTTCACCTATTCCACACCAATACGATATGCCACCTCATAGTTGATCTCCCTATTATCTTGAATTAAGATTCCATATACTTAAAACATTCTCCTTTGGGGTTGTCTGAGCATCAAACTTCACTTCCACATAACTTCATATATAATATCACTGAATTTACATTTCAAATATTCAAAATTTGTCTCTAAACCACTCTAACTAAGGGTGGAGATTGTACGAAATTTAGAAATTTTACATGTACCCAATAATTTTATAAATAAATTATTTATACATAAATATATGATTATGAACCTAGTCACATAATTAAATTGGTCAAGACATACGTTATGCGTCATTCAAGAGCG